ATTTTTTTTCATGTTTCTTTATTCAATTATTTCCGATGATCTGCAAGTGTCCTTATATTTATGACCAGGAAGTGTATCTCCAGCTCTCACTGTTCTCATTATCTGGTATAATTAGCCTGTAGATGCCACCCGAATTAATTTGTGCATCCCAAATGCACAACCCCAAATGTAGATCAGATTCCTGTACTTGCTCTCCTGTCCAATAAGCATCCAACATAACAAAGGGATTACTGATCATCCGCACAAATTCCAGGCACTTATTGGTTGAGCAAGAAAACTGATTTACATTTGGATTTGGGGATTCTTCAATGGATGCCCCAAATTTAGTTTGTGCATTTGGGATTTGGGTGGCATGTATAAATTAGCCTATCAAGTTCTAACCTGGCTTCCACTAGATCAAGTTTCCCAATTTTAATGATGAATGAATTTATTCATCATCAAGACCAAATTTTGTGTCTTTTTTTATGAGATTCCAAGTTGAAGAACAAAAAAATCTTTGATTATTGATGTTTGTTGTGACCAATATTCCTCTGTGAATTAAGATGCAATGGAGTTTAAATGTGATATTCTTTTTTTATGACTATTACAGCTGTACTTTACTTACCCAGTTTTGTACACTTTTAAAATTGAATGCATATCAACTTTATTTATTATTAAGTCATATTTCTAAATGGAGTATGTCAGTAAAATTTAGTAAAGCAAGTTATAAAAGCCTTATAAATTCTGACTTTTACCCCAATGGATTATCTTATTCATTTCTATTAAAGATGGCTCCGCAACTAGGAAGTTGCAACCCAAAAAAATATTGACATCTAATGCTGCAACTGCTGTAAGTCTGCAATTGCTGCAACTGTCTGCAACCTCTGGTTGGTCAGCTACTTCAATCAATATAAAACTAAATTATTTTTCTCAAAAAAAAATTTTTAATTAATGATTATATTTATTGGCCTTGCACAAATTAAAATTAGACTGATTGGTAATTTTAATCCTACAAATTTTAATCATGTTAATTGTATGTTGATTAGAAATTATTGTTTTATTCTTTTTTTTTTATATGATGATGACAATTTTCTAGATATATAAGAATATAGTGGAGGTTGCCTCAATGAAGATGGTGAATACAAAATGTCAGCTGCAGACAATAATAATAGTGATAGCATCATAGTTGACTTTCTTTTTGTATGTGTTACAATAAATAAGTGTGTGCACTTGCTATTGCTATTGCCAATTGCTAGTTTATATATGTATTAGTATGTTAAGGAAAACCCGTTGTTCTCAAAAAAAAATTACACTCTAAAAACACCAAGTAAAATTTTTATATAATGTCACATGCTAAACTATCGTCATTGTTATCACTAGAAAGAGAGGAATTTGTATATAAAATTCATGGTGAAATGCATAGTAATGCAACAGTTAATTCTGATGAAGAAAGTAGGAAAGATTATTTTTTTCATTAGGAGCTTTCTGAAAATGAAAAAGAATATTGTAAAGAAGAGTTTATTTATGATATTGAATTAAGAAATGCAACTTATAAATCTGGTCAACCAAAAGAATGTAACAAGTGCAAATTGACAAGTTACTCTGATAGGTTCTGTGAAGGTTGCATTAGTTTACAATTACAGAGTCTTTACACCACATGGACATCTGGAAATAACATAATTGATGATTTTATTCAACAATGTCAAATGAAATCATCTCTGCCAAAATATATTTTAGAATGGATACCATTTGAGCAATTTTATGATATAACAAAGTTAACTGAAGGTGGATTTAGTACAATTTATACTGCTACATGGATGAGAGGACAGATAATTGATTATGATGAAGATAAAAAGGAATTTAGTTATCGTAAACAGAAAAATGTAGTATTAAAAAGTTTAAATGATTCAAGTAATCCAGGAAAAGCATTTTTTGATGAGGTTGGTAGTTGTCATTTAAAAATAAACAATGCTGTATTATATAATACTAATTGGTTTTATATTCAATAGGCAATGAATTATTGTAAAATTAAATCAGATTTGATTGTTCATTGCTATGGTATAACTAAATTCCCAGATAATGGAAATTATGCAATAGTTTTAAATTATGCTCAAGAGGGAAATTTAAGGGGCTATTTACAAAAAAATCATTTAAATTTAACATTAAAAGACAGAATTACAATCTTTTATTATTTATGTTATGCATTAGATGATATACACCTGAAAGATTTAATACATTGTGATTTACATAGTGGTAATTTACTTATGATAGGAGGTAATTGTTGTATTACAGATTTAGGATTATGTGGACCAGTTGATGAAAAGTCATCAAATAAAGTCTATGGAATTGTATCATATGTTGCACCTGAGCTACTTGGAGGCAAAAAAAATGCAAAGAAACTGATATCTATAGTGTTGTGATGTTAATGTGGGAAATATTTGCAGGTCATCCACCATTTGACGATAGAGCTCACAATCATGGTTTGATTTTTGACATATGTGAAGGTTTACGACCACCAATATTACCTAGAATGCCTGATGATTATGCGCAAATGATGTGGAGGTGTTGGGATGTGGATCCATCAAAAAGACCAACTTAGTGTTGTGATGTTAATGTGGGAAATATTTGCAGGTCATCCACCATTTGACGATAGAGCTCACAATCATGGTTTGATTTTTGACATATGTGAAGGTTTACGACCACCAATATTACCTAGAATGCCTGATGATTATGCGCAAATGATGTGGAGGTGTTGGGATGTGGATCCATCAAAAAGACCAACTAGTAGAGAGCTTTATGATTTTGCTATAAATAAACATGACGGAATTATTAAAAATGAAAGTTTGGAAAGTAATAATAACAATAATAATAGTTTAATAAAAAGATTATTCAAATTTTCTAAAATCAAAAAACCTGAAATTGATTTTAATAATGATTATAACAACAGCAGCAGCAGCAGCAGCGGTGGTGGTGGTGGTGATAGTGATTTGCAACAAGTACACAAATCACATCCGGATGCGTATCATACAAGTAGAATCTTAGATGATGAGATTGCTAAATCTAAAAGCTTTAAAAGTTATACAAGTAATGATAGTTCGTTGAATAATCTTGATTTTAACACTTTTCTTTAGAATGTTAACAAAGGTGAATAAAATTTTCATTATTAATCAATTGGAAATTACTATCCATTACTAACAATATTAATTAACTAATTAATTAATTAATTAATTAACATTAGATTCTATTAACAATAGATGTGATGAATGACTAATTTAATCTTCACTATAAATTTATTATATATCTTCTTTTTATTTATCTTTTTATTTCATCCTTATTTTATTTCCTATCTTGTAACAATATAAACTTTTTACAGTTTCCTGGTTCTTTTTAAATGATGATATTGCGATGTATCATTTTGGTTAATTAAAAATTATGGCTTAACTTTTGGGTACTCTTGTCAGTTAATTGCAAATAAATTTGGTGCTTGTCAATTAATTAGCTTACGAATTTACTTTGGTTCTCGATTACTGCACCTAGACGAATCTGCAAGTCCAAACCTTTGCTTACTCACTAAAGCAAATTACATTACTAATCGTTGTTAACACTCACTAGTTAACAAACGTTAGTCCTAATCTTGCTTGCTTGCTCACTAAAGCAAATAAACATGACTTTTTACCAAAGCTTCACAATTGTTACCCACTGACTACACTTGTTGTTTTTATCAAAGCGCTTTAAACAAAGAAAATAAAGACAATGTTAAAAGTTATTAACGATTAATTTTATTTAATAAAAATAATGATTCTACTACAGAGTCTTATTTTATTATAATGTTAATTTTCCTCTGCGAGGACCAGAAGTCATCCTTAATGAAATTTTCATTACAATAAGGATAGAGATAAAGATTGGTTTATTATTGCAAACTAACTTAATCAATCAATATTGATATTATAAACTTCATAATTATGAAAAGCTTTTGCGTAAAATTTTCATTTGATAATAATTACACTGATCCTGGAACATAAAGTACCGATGATTTTATCTACCCGATCATGTATCACGTTATAAATGAGTGTGTGGAACTGAATTTGTATTCAGCAAAAGAGTCCTTGGGAATAATTGATGAGATTGGGATACACGAGAAATACAAAAAAAAGACCTTGGAATACATATTTATTTTTTTTTGTGAGCTTTTATATTTTATTAGCCTTTAAGTTGAGCGAATTTGACGTAATGATGTTACAACTTTGGTAAACAATATTATGTAATATGCATAGAATATATGATACTGGTTTTCCTAGGACCCTGGACAATTACAGTTGAGGTCATATACTATGTTGTAAATTTTACATAATATAATAGCACGATTTATCAGAGTTAATGCCATCAAACAACGTAATTAAAAACGCAGCTTTTGAAGAGAGGCATCTTTTTGACACCAAGTTCTTATAGATCTATCAAACCCATTTTCATCATTTCCATGCTAACACAGGGAGTATATATAAAAGTAAAAAGTAACATTAAATATCATTTTTTTTTTTTTAAATAACATCAGTTGTAGATAATGAGAACCATCTATTCTGACAAAATTTCATTACTCATGGTTTTTAAAGTGGATCAATTATAATTGTCCATGGTCTCGCTTTCCTGATGTATTATTTTTAACAACAAAGTTTTTTTTTAGATTTTCTATAAATGAAAATGATTTTTGAACATAAGTAATTAATTCAAAAAATTGGCCAATTTTCCTAAAGTATTTATGCAATTGATCAAAATTAAACCACCACCTAAGTTAATCAATTACTCTAACTTAAAGGTTATTATTATTCCATAGTACTATAAGCAGTTGTTGATAGTAATAAAAAATTTATTGATATTTCCCGGTTTCCACATGACAGTAGAATATTCCGATTTATCATCACATAGAAACAACAATTCTATAAATAATTTAGACGGCAGATGTATGATACCACCACAATTTCATCTTTTGGGTGATGGAGGATACCCGAATTTACAAAGGTAAGGAACTTATTTTAATTTATGTCGCTCGAGAACAAAATAAAGGTCGAGCAATCATTTGGCTTATTAAATCAAGGTGGAGGTTTCCGTTGAATTGGTATCATTAATAATTTCTGCTTGTTGCAACATTTGTGAAGATTTGAAAATATTGATATTGGTGAAATTATTTCATACAATGAAAGAGTAGAATTAATTTCAGTAAATAACGAAGAATTCTAACATGAATCAATTATTTTATAAATTTTAGTTGTCAATAATTAATGAATCATAATTTATTTCTAAAAAACTTTTAGGTTTCCCTATAAAAACAACTTTTAATATAAATTATATATATACTGTACATAACCTTGAGTAATTGTTGTAAAAATGATAAAATATTAACTATCATCATGTCCAACTTTTCGCATCTTTCTTTTCTTTTCTTTTCCGCATTGACCAAGAGTTTGAGTAATGAAGACTAAAATTTTTAAAACATTTTTTTCTACTAAGAAAAAAATCAGCCGAGGAATTTTTAAACGGCTTAGCCGACTGATATATATTTTTTTTTTGGATAAAAAATTATTCTCTTAACTCATTTCCATTCATCCCCCAAAAACACTATACTCATAAAGATAATAATATAATAATAATGGCGGCGAATTAAGCGTTAATAATATTAGTAGTAGAAGTGATAGTAACAATGAACCATTAGTAAGTAGGCAATAATAATAATAACAATAATATAGCAGTAATAATAATAATAACAACAGTAATAATAATAACAGTGAACCATTCATTAGGTAATAATAGTTGTGGTGAAGCCTTTGATAATTAAAGGGATTTTGGTATATCTGGAAGTGATATAGAGGTTTCTAATACAGCTATTGAACCTATTTCGTCTGATGTTTTGGATAATACTAATTTACATTCCTGTCTAAGTTCAATTTCAAAAAGTTTTGTTCAACATGTAAGAGGTAATGTTAGTTGAACATGCAAATTATACATGTGGTCGAAACACAGACTTTCGGTCCTAGTTTCAGTTTCGGGCTCCGGCCAGTTTCGAGTTGAAAGGGTTCCTATCCGAAACTGAAAACCTATCCAAAAGTTGAACTTCCGACTAAAATCCAAAACTTAGTCGAAACCTTTATATAAGGGCCGAAACTCTCAAAGGTTCCAAATGTAAACCACACCAATGGATTTTTTTTTTGTAAACTGATGAGATAATTGTTGATGAAAGGAGACAAGCCGTTGTATAGTTTCACGGAATAATATTAACGGTTTTGATATCGAAACATTAGCTAGCAATATATCAAAGAGAAATTGATAATAATTATATATCATTTATTTAATTTAAATTTTTGCGTTTTGATCATACAAGTTAGAGTTTCTATTCGTAATAACAAATTCTTATTTGAATTATTCGTTTTATTCAATGAACGAAACAAATAATTCGAATAAACCTTATTATTATTCGAATAGGAACTCTAATACAAGTTTTATATAAAAAGGTTTTGGCCAGGGATTTTAAATTCGATGGGGTTCCAGATTTCGGCAGAGAGGTTCGGTCACGTGTATAATAGGGATCCATCCTCCCTGGCCATGTTATATCAGAGGTTCGTTTGTGACAATTCAATTAAAGATAAGTGTCATTCATTAATTATCTAATCCAAACAAATATTATATTATTTCACTTTTTTTTTTGCATATTATTATAATTCATATTATGTAATTTTATTTTTATTTTAATAGTAATAATTTACATAGAAAACATAAAAATTTTTTATAGAATACGGAATATTTTTTTATTAGTAGATTTTCAAGCTTTTGCAATTTTTACATATAAAATTTTTTTCTCGCATTTCTTATTTTAGATAATCCATGTAATTTAGTCTTTTCACGATAAATTTTGAAGCAATTTCTATTACAACATAATGGAACATTACATGATGCACACCAAAAATTAGATAATGGAGGTCTTTGCTCAGTTTTCGATAATAAGTACCTGCACAACATAAATGAATATCTTTCTTCCTTCCATTCTACAAAATGATCACCAGTAGTTAATCTATCATTAGAAAGTCGAGGATTAGCTGTTATATGAGGCAATCAAATAAAAAATTTTATTGTGGTTTTAAAAAAAAATATTTTTTAACGTTAATACAAATCATCAGCTCATTCACTTTGTGCAATTATTTTATGAAATAACCATTGTGTGGTGCGTTCAATTTTTATTTATTTATTTATTTATTTATTTATTTATTTATTATTATGATAGTGGCGTGATCTCAAAAATCATTTTTCACTTGGAAAATCATGTGTAAAAATTGCATGTTACATGTGTTCCATCATTGGAAACAAATTTGCAACATATTTGTTGCAGTGAATTATCAAATCTGTACATACACACATACCAATACCTTAATTAGTATAGAAAATCCGTTATAGTGCCAAATATTAATTACAGCGTTAAATAAATTCTTAAAGCAATTGTTTCTTGCCTATTTCCCATTCAAAGAGAATATAATTTACTTACATTTGGTTGATGATGTAATAGCAGTTGCAGAAGAACCAGATCTAAACGTAACTGATTTCGTATTATTTTTGTTCCTCTTGCACCAGTTCTCTAATGGTACTTATTTGTTGTTTTTATTATAGTAAATATGAGTTATTGCATGCAGAACATGCAATAATGGAAAAATCAGAGTTTAAAATAGTGGCACGTTAGTGACATTGTTTTAACCATTCTCTAATTTTTTAGTCTTTTTTTTTGACGTAATTATTGCATGATTTAACTGGTTTATCCGACTATGAAACATTCCATTTCCAGATTTTAAAATTTTTAATGATTTTTTTGTACTACATACGCCCTTTAATTACTTGAGAGGCACGTGCATGTGTGAAAATTCAAATCTGGAATGATCGTATGATGTATTCTTCGGGAAATTACTAGAAAATTTACTATTTTAAGAAAACACGAGATTATTGTAGAAGCTTTTTTGATTACGATATAAAAGCGAGTAAAATTCTCACCAACAACAATTTCAAAATAATAATAAAATAATAAAATAATAAAATAAAACAACTTTTTAAACAAAAAATAATAAATCATCATTATTCAAATTAAATCATGGCTCTTTTCCATTCCAACAAAGATTTAGAACGTTTTGAAAATTCAGTTAATCGTGTATTTGAGAATTTTGCCAAAGATTTAAACGAAGTTAGCCAGCGTAGTGCAAGTCGTGGAATTCGTTCTTGGGCACCGTTGTTGGATTTACACGAAGATGCAAAAGAATATACTTTGAGCACTGAATTACCCGTAAGTATATATATATTTGATATCAGAATATGTCAACTATTTACACACACACATATATATATTCATTATTTATTTATTTCTATATATTTTAGGGAATTAAAAAAGAAGATATTAATATTGATATTCGGGATAATACACTTTATATTTCTGGTGAAACTAAAGAAGAAAAAAAATCTGAAGAAGGAGGAACAACTCATATTCAAGAACGTCGTTGGGGTTCTTTCTCTCGTACACTTGCGCTTCCACGTAATGTGAAAGCTGATGATATCGTTGCTAAATACGAGAATGGTGTTCTTGAGGTTAAAATTCCTAAAGCTGAACACACTGGCAAAAAAATCACCATCAAATAAATTGAATGTTTTTTATTAATCACTTACACTTTCAATTAAAAATTTGTAATAAATAATTAAATATAAATTGTATTATGCTTATTATATCATAGCTTATATATATATATATAATTTTAAATAAAACTTTTAAATAGTTGTTGTAAATTTATACGTTTTGAAATTTATTTAATGTTTATACAAGTCGCTGCTACCACCTGCTCTTTATTTTTCCTTTTAACCAATCCCAATTAATTTTTTTTGTACACCTGACTCGACCAATTTTTCCACCATTTCTTTATTTATTTGTGGATGCTATATTTTTCAAACACTCGACACTTCGATGTTGCAATTCAAAAGATTGCTCATCCAACAAATTTTTTAAAATTAGTAAATCTCTTGGTCTTTCCAATACCATCCTGCGCACATCTTGATTTGTTGACAAGATTGGTAAACATCCACTTACCGCTCTCCTAGTCTCGAAATCTTTCACATCTGACAATGCTACCAACAATTTTATTTTATTTTTGGATTTCTAGTAGTCACTATACCTCTCAAATATTGATTCACAAAACATCAAATTACACAAACATTCTGTTGCTGCCCTTCGAAACATTGTATTATCAGATAATTGTAGATTCTCCATTATACCCAAGCCATCAAGTCGATAAATATGTAATCAAATATCATCATCTGTGCTAGATAAATTTGTCAGGCCTCTAAAAACAAGATTTGGATTCATCGTGATTGCAATTTTTTCTAATGCTTGTTTTGCAAGTTGTTGCACATTTTCTTTGGATCCTTTTGTTGCTATCATTGTTGTTTTCGCCGGAGTTGTCGATGTTATCGTCGTTGTCATCGATGCCAATGGAATTAAAGCTTTTACAGCACCTTGTTGTACCATCAATCCATGATTTGATCGATCTGTTGCCAGATCTAAATAAATATTTGCAACTAGTTCCTTGATTACTTTGATTTTTTGATAGTTTGATTAGTATTTTGTTAACTCCAATACCTAACAATTTTTTATTACGTTTATCCACATGTTCATCGCCATCTAGTGGGTCCAACTTATCATCACTATTCTTACTTTTGTTGTTATTTTCACTGCTTAATTTCTTTAACTTTAAAATTTGTTCTTCAGTTTCGTTTAATTTTTTTCTGTACATTGTGATATTTGATAAAACTACTGCGATTCCATAAAGTATTGAATTATCTAGGGTTGGTTTCCCTCCTCCTTTTTCTTCTTCCTCTTCTTTTTTTGATTCATTTAAAATGAAATCAAATGTCTCTTTTAGTAATGTGTGATGATCAATTATCATTTCTTTGACTGATGCCTTCATATTATATAGAATACGCTAAACCTTCAATAGCATTTTTGCGTACTTCATAATTTGAAATCAGAATCTAATACCATATTTCTAAATAATCCTGTTAATTTTATTTCTTCTTTTTCTTCTTCTGGTCCTGATTCTGCAGTGACATGATCTTTATCCGTTATTAATTTTTTATTATTTATACTGCTAACAGTTTAGTTGTTGTTGTTGTTTTTTGTTGTTTTTGGATTGTTCATCCAAGAAAATCTTTGTTAAAATAATAGCTGACAAAGATTTGAGATGCTGATTTTTACTAGTCATCAAAGATTTTAAATATTCTTGTCAATTTGCAGCAATTAAATTAAACTTCTAAAATTTTTTTGTGAACAAGCCCAAAGACAAGATTTCCAAAATTGTTAATTGTACCTGTTCATCTTCAAGCTCCACACAATCCATCATCTCTTCCAAAAAACCTGCCTTGTCCAACACTTTTTCATCTAATTCATAAAAATTATATATATATATATATATAATAATGCATTAATGTAAATAATTTATCAATTTTTTTGATTGAATTTTTGTCCAATTTGATATTTATTTCAAAAGTTTTTTGCCTAAATAATAATGATGATGTTGTTGTTGTTGTTGTTGTTGTTGTTGTTGTTGTTTTATTAGAGTATTTTTCCTGCATCGTTGTAAAGCTTTTGCTTAGTTTTGATAGAAATATCAAACTTGTTGTTTTAACCTTTTCACTCTTTGAACCTCCAAAACAACTTGAAATTGTTTTAAAATCTGATGAATTTATAAAATTTTCATAGTCTTCATCGTTATCACCACCACTACTTGCTTTTATGACTTTCATGATTAAGAAAATTCAATTGCGATTCATCTGGCTCATTTAAATCCATATTAATGCTACAAAGAAGAAAAATTGTGTAATTAGTTTGATTGGCTGAAAATATTATTTTATATGTAATAACAATATTTATTATGTGTTATATAGCCAGAATTAAGAAATAAATTGATGACTGAATCCAATAATCACCAAGACTAATTAAACATGTTATAATCTGTGTCCTAGCAGCTGTTATCCGGTATATATAAATTTTGTAGAATTGCCACTAATATATGAAGAATGAATAAGAAAGGATGACGAATGTTCAATCATTTTTGAACATGCCGTGCCATCAATCACAGCAGATTTTTCAACTTGTAACTCTGACCAATAAAGCGCCTTCCTCATAAAGGATACTATCCCAAAGTACCTTTTCTTGTTTCTTTACTAAAGAAGTAATGAAATTTCCTTTGTTTTAGTGTGTTTTTCTCTTGTGAAAATTTATGAAAGATTTGTCAAAAATAGCCGGTACAAGTCCAGAATGATGTAGAGAAAATAGTTGTGAAGAAAATGGAATCACGAAGAGGCGAAGGAATTTTATTTTTATAGATCGGATCTAATATCCCAAAATCCTTTAATATTAATAATATTAATTTAAATTATTACACATGACTCAATCAATACCCTCGCATATGATTGACTTTGATATAATATAATAATAATCTCTTTAATTTGATTTGCACCAAACAGTGTAAATAAACAAATACCATAATCAATTCACTCATTACAAAATCTTTCAATAACCATCGTTTGACCACATTATATTTTTCACCACTAATAATAATAAAATGATTACTTTTACCGCGAATTTACTTATTGGAATTTTACTTGGCTTTTTGCTCAATTATAAGACTTCCAAGTCCCATATCTATGACATTAATACAATAGGGTCTTGGAAAAGTTAAAACAAAAAATAAAAAGTAAATTAATTACTGATGGAAGAAATTGAAAAGTTGTGGAGGGTTCTTAAACCCTTAATTTGATAAAAGGCTGAGCTGGACTCGAATGTTTCATTTATTGTTGGTAAAATGTCAACTGAAATTCACGAGTTGCACAGAGAAGGAAACGGTATCGCTGCCTCTATCATCAATAACTTTTGCCAAAGAAAAACGAATCCTAGGAAGAAAACAATAGAAGTGATCCAGGAATGGGTAATAAAAAAGAGATGAAGATGATAATGGCGAAGGAGAGAATGAAAAATATATTAATAATAATAGTAAAAACAATATCGACATAATTCTACTTTATTGGCTCTCGTGACTAAGGTCAACTTTTGTGTTCTATCTATCAATCGATTATTTTGTTGACCAAAGGCAAAATTTTTCAGGTTGTTTAAATCAACTTTATTATCTTTCGTCAATTTTATTTTAAAGAAGAAAAATAGATTTTGAAAGTCATTCCAGGTAACAATTATGAAAATAATTATTGCTGATTGTATTTTTGATTGTGAGAGCCAACTTCAATCAATTATAAAATAATACATATACAGGATTCTATCTATAATAAATATAATAAAAATACTAAAAATGCTTGACAGATTTTGATTCAATATAATTTTCATCGTCATTGTCAGTAGGGCCCGTTAACACATCACAATAAGATGAACCGCAAGATAGATTATGTAATCATCTTATTCAGGGATTCTGGGTTTTATTGATTCAACCCTTGCATTTTCCAATCTTTAAGTTGATAAAAACTAAAATAAAACAATTTAATTTGCTGGTGCGTCAGTTAATATTAAGAATGGGTTTTCTTATTAATTCTTGATCAGTCATAATATCAATCTTTTATAAATAAATAATATTGGAGTATTCTTAAACGAGACAAGAACAAAAGTAAAAGATAACAAACACAAACAGTGTGTGATCTTTGGAATTCAGGATGATTACATAATTCTTAATGAGTAACTAGGGATGGGAAATTGCATGAAAATTTCAAACTTCATGCGTATGATTTCAAAAATTACGTGCGCACGATGCGCACAATGCAGCGCGCATTGGAACATTTCTATGAGTAACACATATTTAGATCGTGAAATGAGAAGGAGAAATTATTTCTTCGCTGAAGAAGAAACAGGTGAAAGTGATACATCAACATTTAAAACTCCTACATTTTCAATTAATGCTTGCTGCTTATGCCTTTGAAACAATGTACAATTTCCTCACAAGGGTGATATTGAAATAGATTACAACGGGCCTAAAGCCTTTAAATCGTTAATTAAGAATTAAAAACCAGCATTAGCATTGCATCATTTTTCAAATGAATAATTTTAAATTTCACATGTTACCTGATCAGTTACGATTTTTGTCGATCCGATCGCTTTAATTACAACGAATTTAAATGACCAAGTCCCATACATTCGTTGTAACAAGGTTAGACTGTACAGAGGTGGGAGGTAAAATGACTGTTGTACGTGAAAATGAAATTATGTGAATTCGCAATTCACATATGTGAAATTCAAATTTACATAATTTCATTTTCACGTACAACATGACCAAAGCTTTCATGATTTAAGGAGCAAAACATTGTCTCTAATCCGATGTTACGCATAAGACACAGAATATACAAAAGAAATTTTAATTGAGGTAAACGACGTGAAGAATAGCTTTACTGATCAACTTGAATTTTAACATAAAAAAAAAATATATAAATTGCGTGACACCGTTTTCATTCATAAATCTTTTTTTTTGCTGAAAAAAAAAAAAAAAATGACAACTACAAATACCATCACCAAAAAGATACCTAATGATTATTTTGTGGAAAAAACAGACTATTCTCTTTGGAGGCTTAAAGTTGATCATGGACGTCAAACCTGGCATCATTTAGAAAATAAGGAAGAGATTGAAAATTGGCCACAAACCATTTGTGATAAATACTGGTTAGGAATACCTTTTGTAAGCTA